ATGTGTATAAGAGACAGTATTAGAACTGTGATCTTAAATTTAAGGGTGAAGCACTTTAAAGGCAGTTAGCTGTATTTGTGCTTCATTGTTTGTAAATAATATTTAATTTTATTTGAATTACAGAAAGGAGGATTTGGACGTGGTCGGCCTACACAGCAGTAGAATTCTTGACAGCTTCAATTCATCTGACATCTGTACATTTTTATCGATAATGTAACAAATAAAAAAAATGCCTCACAAGTGAAACAGTGTCGTGTTTTTTGTACAGTAGTTGGAAACTACCAAGGCAAGACAAACATTTTACAGAAGATTCATAAACTATGCAGTCCAATCCGGTCAGGATATGAAATCAACTTCCATTAATTTATAAATGTTTCTCTGGAATATGTTTTAATTGCATTGACATCCATCCACAACATTGAAGAGCTATCACCTAGAATAATCAAGGCTTAAAAAAATATACAGTAGTTTAGTTTATTCACAAGAATAAATCCGTGTGCGCAAAATCTCCCACCTACCCCACATTAAAAAGTTTGAAGCAAAAGCTTAATTGGTTAAAACTTGCCTCGTACAACCTTATTTTGCAAGCGCCATCCTAATTTTTGTCTCAAAATAAAAGTCTTGCATCATTGTAAAGTAAGGATCCACTACAACAGTATTCAAACATTATCATTATCTACTGCTGCACCGGAAAAAAGCTGTCCTTGCCAATATGCGCATTTAAAATCTCCGATATATTGGAAGTAGATAACTTGCGCAATTCAAAGTTACATTTTTAATTTTGAGGTTTTCCTGTTTTTCTGGCTTTTTTTAGTGGGTTCATATATTCTCATGAAGCATTCCAACATTGAATTAGGACAGATTGAAACAATTACAGTACTGCAAAAAAATACAAGGGTTTATGTAACTTGTATGAATATGGGCCAACACTTGTAAATTTAATTCAAAATCTTTATTGCTGTAGATACATTTCAAGACAAGACAATACAAAGCTACAACATAATTAAAATGAGGCAAGCGGAAGTTCCTACTTTCTGTCAGAGGTTGGTAGCTGCAAACAACTTGACCAATATAGAGGTGTATAAGGCGCTTGCCCACTTCGCCAAAATTACTGAAGTACTCTTAGTTAAAAATCACCTAATGTTACCTTCCAGTAGGGGGTCCGAACCAAAAAGCTGACTACAGTCTCGGTCATGTTCCCTATATAAAAGTTTTTATGGCTTTGTATGGCCCAAAATTTTGCTTTTAGACCACAATATTAGGGATTCTGTGTGGGGAGGGGGACCCATGTTGAGACACCTAGATAGGCCACAGAATACATAATCAAATAATAACATAGTCTGCCTTGGCAAATATACATTCCAGCATGTTATAAATTTAAGGGCATGGACTAATTTTGAAACCTTGTGTTAATCAATACAGTACTGTACTATCTTGTTCCCTGTGTGGGGAGGGGGACCCATGTTGAGACCCCTAGATAGGCCACAGAATACATAATTAAATACTAACATAGTCTGCCTTGGCAAATCTACATTCCGGCATGGGCTAATTTTGTAACCTTGTGTTAATTCATTCAGTACTGTACATCTTGTTTAGAAGTTTTGGACACAATTCTGTAAAATTTTGGATAGGTGCTTAAGTACTTTTAAAAGCAATATTAAAAATTTATTGTGATCATTCTCAAAGATCTAGGCATACACAAAAAATACACATGATTTTGGACTTAATAACTTATACCAAGTTTGAGAAATTGCCCAACACAGCATTGCACATTGTCTGTAACTACTGTACTGTACTATTGTTGCTGTTCATGAGTTTGATAGACACAACTGGCGAATGAGCAGTATTTTATGCTGTTTGTAAACAAAACAAAGACCATTCGGCTTATGAAAAAAGCATGGGTTTTCTAGTGTTTAGCAAAAAGGCACTTGATGTTGATTTGAATCCTTTTAGTTGGAATAGCAATTCACTACATAATTAAATCACTTGAAAGTATTTACAGAACAATTAAAATTTCCAAACTTAAAGTGGTTGGTGTATTCACGGAGTATTTAAGGCCTATATCTGCACCCTGATTAGGTACTGAGAAAGTCCAGAATCGACCTACTAAGAGAACGGTCCAATGCAATTCTAGATTAGCTCTATGATCACAAAGTATACCGCAACATAAATTCTAGAGCATTAAATGCACAGAGAACACTAGAATGAGTATTAAAACAATATTTTGAACAACCACACTTCTTTCAAACACTACACTGGGTCACTTTAAAACCATAACAATTCATTTTCCTATACATGTACTACATTCTATGGCAAAATTACCACTTCTTCCTTAGGGTCACAGGTGGTATATAATTGCTTGCTACCAGAATCTACCATGTTTAGGACTACAATGAGATAACAATTTGCAATTTTTGGACATCCACTTTCTATTTATGCTATTGCACAAGTGGGTTCTATAGTGAAGGAATAAATGCCAATTATTCACTCTACGTCAGTCTGTCCATAAGACTTGTTTCGTTAATCTTTTAGGTGTTTTGTTGCCCTCATTGGTCTCATCTCAATCTCTGGGCTACTGATGAATGAATTGGTCTGCATACACCGTCCCTGATGGAAATAAAAAAGTGAACAATTCTGTAGTAGGTTATGGAAAGCCAGAGACTAGCATCAATTAGAATAATATATTTCCTATAGATTTAGCCACTAATTCTATAATATAGACAATATTTAGCAATTAGTTTAGTTGTGCATAGTACACTAGCGGAAAATTATAATATAAAGGTTAGATTGGATGCATGAGAAAAATTAAATCTAATCTAAGTATGATAATCTTCCCCTAGTGTACGATGGATGCAGCTACAGTATACTAATTGCTTTATAAGCGTAGTTTTGATAACTGTTGTAGCAGTCATCGATTGCTATAGTGATATGATCAGTACACTGCGTGCGTAATACATTTAGCACACAACGAATATGATGAATAAATATTTGATTGAGTTTGAAGAACCACAGGGCTAAAAATCATGGTCAGGTTATTTTGGGCTCTTGGAATATATAAAATAAACTAAAATATAAAATAAATATATGTTTGCCCTTGAAGATTTTGGGGTCTGTCAGGCTTGGCCAACACAAAATGGTAATGCGAGGTGAAGTATACAATTATATTCTCAATGCTGAAAACAAACAGTGGTGACTGTGTGAAATATCTTACCTGGTTATTCCTAAGAGGGGTGGGTGTGTGGAACATCTTGAATGCATGTTGAACCTTTGCTGAGCTACAAAGATAAAATGTAATCAAGTTTAAGAATCATGCATCACATTTACCTGCACACACACAAAAAAAGGTGTGTGAGAACAAACCTAAGCAATCATTAAATAAAAAAAGAAAACAATAACAATAATATGTGGACTGTGTTTACTATTCTTACAACCATAGGCCAGGGGGCTGGAAGCTTTGATAATTTAGGGATTTGAAAATCTAATTTAGTCTCCTAATCTAAAAATTACAAAGGATTTTTTCTTCCCAAATTATTTTGTTTGATCCCCCTGACATCAGTCTCGGTTTTCTCTGACGAGGAGGAACTGGCCCCCACTCCACAATGCCCCAAGTGTCGTCATCACTCATTTTATGGAAACTTAGTAGGCCATCTTCCGCAATAACCATATGATTGTGTTCATCCATTCAATGATTTGAATTACTTTACAGTACCTGCTGATGAGTTTCCTGCTTGAGGGGTTGTTGAACGGGTTCTGCCAGGTTTTTCCAAACTTAGACATGTAGTCAGCACTGCCAATCCTTAAACTGCGTCGGACACCGTTTATGAAGTCTGGAGAAGCTCTTGATAATTTTGGACTTGAATTCTGATCCTTAGATATCCTATAGCAGAAATTGTAATTACATACATTTTAGGACTTAATATGGTGGTGTAAATATAAATAGGCAAGATTGATTTTTTACTATTAAAACCTCAGACCTTTTCAGATTTGGGGAATGCATAAGCACCCACCGCACCCCTACATACAGGCCTGCACCAAATCAATGCAGGTTCCCTTTAAAACCGTGGAGATCTCTAGGTCTCATCGTTGCCTCTCCTTGTGTTTTAGTTTGAGGTCTGAAATACAAGTTACAATAGCGCACCGTCTTTCGGATGAGACGTTTAAGCTGTTTGTCCAGTGTGCATTTAAGGCCCATGTGCAAGTTAAAGAACACAGTACACTCTTCGAAAAAGAGTAGGGGATTGTCTCCCGGTGTACTGCCCAATCAACACCAGAAGGACCCCACTGGAAATAAGTCATTTTCTAGACTTTCGTGGGCCATCCTTGGTGTTTACACTGAATAAATCCAATCCAAAATCATCATTAAGTTATGTATGAGCACTGTCATTTGACTCTGGTAAATTGTTACTGATTAGTCTTAGGATAGTAGATGTTTTCTTATTTTCTTTATGTGCTTTGAGATGGTTCTTAACTGTGCAAGGCAATATAAAGTTGATTTCCATTTACATTATCCTGGGCACCCTGATCTGCTGTTGCTTAATTAAACAAGTACAGTAGCTGGGTTAAATCAAAGTAAGGCCACAGCTACTTCTATGGGGCAGTGAACATGGTGAAATCTGTTTCAACCATGATACTCACCACTGTGATGATGACCATGGCGATGAGGGAGAGCACTCTGGTTCATTGTTATTTATTGTAACCATATTTCTTCCTTCTCTTTTGTGTTTTGTTCCATTTGCAGCCTGGATCATAAGAACAAACATTGATTACTACCTACTTTTAGGGTCCATGGAAAGAAAACTTAATGATCTTGTATTAAAGAAACTTTATTGTCTGTAATACACAAAAAAAGAAACACCACATAATACGTTCAATGCCAATAAAAAAGTGTTAAATATGAATAGCAAACACTAAAAGGAGAATAAAAACATGACGAAAATTTAAAATCTAAAACAAATATTTTCTTTTTCATTTGCAAATGGTACCTAACAAATGTACCAAGCAATTAAAATTACAGCTTATTTTACTAAACAATGTGGTGCTTATCAATAGTAGGATAACATTATTATTATTCAATGTGTTCTTTTGTTTTGTATAACTGCAACACTATAAAATACAACCAAGTTTGAAGTTCGGCATATGTACAACGCATAGTATTATTTGTAACACTTCAAAAATTGAGAAATAAGCACTGCTCTGAAATATGCATAACTTTCAAGACGCATTCAAAATGTTATAAGCAAATTAATTTATTTTGTTGTAGGCTTACTGAAACTTTATCTTTATTAACTCTCTACCTTAATTTGATTTTTGGAATCAAGCTCAACTTCTGCTATCCCACTATTCATTCTGTTTTTGTCATCAGAATTTGAAATGGAGACGGAACTCAAACGTTTCTCAGTTGAGACAAAATCGTCCAGTTCCCTTAAGTGAGCTTGTCTTCTGGTGATCACATGCCCTGGGTATCTGCGGTGGCGCTCTTTCCTTTTTCTCACAGATATTACTTGCGTGTTTTTGGAAGTTGGATTCGGCTGACGTTGGTTGGCAGGAGTAAACATGTTGACAAACCTCTTGAATAAAGAGACTGAAGAAAAAGAGGAAGTAGTTTTACATATTTTCTCCCAAAAAACAACAATCAAATGCTAGGTTTTTATGGCAACTTATAAAATGTTAAGTAAACCACCCCCTCTCCAGTCTAGTGAAACACTGTTTTCTTACTTTTAGGAGAAAACTACATCAACCATCATTAATGATGGAAGTGCATTTAATGTTCAAAGATATTCACCACCATCAGCATCTTCATCATTATCTCCATTGTTACCATCTTTATTTTTTTGTTTTTGTGTTCCTTTTTTAACCACCTATTGCCATGTGTATTTGCTTAATTTATCTTGTATTTGTATTTGGAATTCGGCAAGTGAATGAAATGAAAAAAATCAACTGTCAATGAGATTTACTTTATAATTGTTTTAATTAATTTCTTTATTTCTTTTGTCCAGGATTTTATGATAGATGGTATATCTTGAAATCGATATTCCATGCTTTCAAGCTAAAGTTACAGCAATTAAGAAAATAATCAAATATTTGCTAACCTTCTGATCCATTTGTTTTGAGTTTCTTTGTTTTCTGGGCTGTTTCATCTCTCAGCAGCGCCCTCTTACGACCTGCATCAGCAAAGGTTTATAACTGACTATAACAACGAATATTCACCTCTTTTGTGTAGTCCACACAACTTGGTGGGTGCAATGCAGTGGTGAGTAGTTAGGTGATGTTAGTCAATAGTTAAAGCTAAAGTGAGTGGCGCACGTGCGAATGGTGAATGATGCATCATGGGAATGCTAAGTGATGCACCATGAGAATGATTTGGGCACCTGAATAACCTTTGACAATGACAGCAGTTGCTTTGCAGGAACTGCTTTTAAGCAATGATATTGATTAAATTATAATTTTTACCAAGTATACATTCACACCTATTTATTTATTCATTCATTCATTCATTCATTCAATCATACATTAAATGTGATACCATTTCCATGCAGAGGCCAACAACAGGACAAGTGATGAAAGAAACCATAAATTGTGGCCCTCAGACAGAAAGGTCTTAGGAAATGTTTCTTTTAAACTTGCATCCTTCAGACAATCTAATGACACATAACACATACAGTAAATTAAGTTTGGTTTATTCTACAATTTTTTCACAAGTACAATAACATTTTACAAGATATATTTAAGTTACAGTCCTGAACACATATATACTATAGTGAGAATGTGCATTAATCCTGACAGCTAAACAAAAGAAAACATACTGGAGGCAGTAGACCTGTCACTCTACATTACTTGCAACTACAGGTCTCCTTCTAATTGAAGACCCCTCCAATTAAAACCTCCTCCAATTTCCATGGTCCCAAATCAACAAATGTCTTTTATTTTTAATATTCTAAATAGAGACTCAAGCTGCTAAAGACAATGAAAACCAAAAAAGTAGCCTTTAATTGGATGGAGACATGTATATTTTTGGAAGAAACTCAAATTTTTATGTTATTAAAAAATCTGCAACAATTCTTGTGAAGTGCTTAGAGGTTTTGTTGACATGAAGCACTATATAAGTCTAACATATTATTATTATGACTCAGGACTGAAACACACGTATTGCATTTTATTTTCTTTGGAGAGAAAGTTACACAAAGATGTATTTACATCATTAAAGAAGGATTATAACGAAATAATTGATATACAGTTATAGCTAAAATAAATGACTATATTCAAAATTATATTAGATTATATTTCTCGGTTTAAATAAATAAAACAAATATATACTTATAAATATTTCAGTAATACATTATTTCCAATATAGAATATTAGCATAACAAAACATATTTTAATTTGCATATATATGATTCTAGGTATATTTTCTACAATTTCTACAAAATATTTTTGTTGTAAATCAAATGATGGAAGCACTTAGAAACTGAAAGGGGTACTAAGTTGAATTGAATTCTAAAAATGAAGAACAACAATACAGTATTATCTATTAAAGCCCAGGTATTTAAACTTTTTAAGCTGGTGGCCAATTCCAATCCGTTGAGACTAGTGGCGGGCCAACAAAAATTGTGTACTTCTATTTGTTCAATGTATGCCCCACTCACTCTTTTATAGGCCTACAAGTCTTGATAATAGGCCTATTCAGTTGCAGATCCAGGAATTCAAAATAGAGGGGGCCCGGTGAGGTACTTTCACAGATGGAGGATCTATACCACCTCAGCCCCACCATGGTTGGGTCTGAGGCTAGAAAATTTGTGATTACAGTATGGCACTTCTAGATGGCCGAAAACTGCACCCTCGACAAATTTTAAGTACACTTAAGTAGGTACTGTATGTTATACAAAATTCCTGCAAATTTGTAACATAAATAATATTTATATAATTTTGTATATGAAGTGTAGTACACAAGCATACAGTACAGAAAGGTATGATTTCACACAGTGGTAACATCTATTTTCGCTCCAGAATTTGAAAATTATCAATATATTGAGCCTATATTATATGGAAAGGCAGGGCTGTGCAGACACATCACATGCATCATTTAAGCCTTCGCAACATTTGGTACTACTGTACTGGTAATAATTATTTATCAATGATTCATGTTGCTAATTTCTAACATAAAGATGTCTAATGGAATGCTTCATACAAATGGCTCAATAAATATATATAAATGGTTAATTTAAAAAATATAAATAACAATAATTATTATTGAATAATAATAATATAAAATATTATTATTTTATATAAATCATAGTACTTCATTTTTCTAGTACTCCTGGTCAATGAATACACAAACTATGAACCAAGTGGACTACTTTCTAAACATTGTGAAGAACAACTCTCCATGCAGTAACAAACAAACCTATTTATGGTATACCGTATTTGTAGTCCTGATGAGAGAAAAATTTGCCTGAAGACACAAAGCAATGTGACTTGCATAGGAGTTAAACATGTACGCCTCAAAGACTTAGTGTTACACGAACTGCTTCTACATTTATAATTGGAGTATTTCTAAAATAATCTTGTTTCTTTTATTGTTGAAATAGCTAGCAGTAATCCCTTTCACAAGACATGCACACAAGATGCTCTACATAAATTCTCACTACAGTTTAAGCAAGGACTTCCATAAGTGCAGCTGTTTTTGGTCAAATCATTATCATATTTATCAGCTTGAAGTATTAATCTTGGGTAAGGAATGTAAATTCAAAATTCATTTCAAATTTGGGTATTTTTAAATGAGTTAGAGTTTTTAATTGCCAACAATAACAGCAATAATGGAAGACTAATTTTGAAAAGTAATTAAAACAATACACAAATATTTTACATAAAATAATAGATTTCAGGATTTCTTTAAAACAGGGAAGTGGCTACACTCACTAGTAAGGAATAGGCTTGTAGATAGGCGGGAGGAGTGAGTGAAAGACCAAAGAGTGTTTTAGTTTTAACAATATCACTACTCACAAATGCAGAAAAATGTGTTTCATTACATCCACTAACATCCCCCACCCATATAAAAACAAGCTTCTTGTATGACTGACCTTAATCAACGAACTACCCAAAGCAATTTATTAACAGTTTATCCCCCCCAAAAAAAATATCTATGGACTTGACTTGAGGTAATATTTAAAAGATGAAAGTATTTTTAGAGTTAGTCTTTAGAATACTGATGCATACAATATTTCTTTGGATCTAAACCCTCAATATAAAAGTTATCTATTGATATACAAAATAATTATGACAAAATATAATATATAATTTCCAAATGTTCAAAGAACATATTAAAATTAATTGTACAATATGTTGGTAAGTAGTTATATAGCTATTGATATATTCATGCACTATACAATTTCCTTTAAAGTTTTAATACATAACATTTGAAAAGTAGGCCTACACGACGATGCAGATAGATACTGTAATTAAACCAATCAGCAGTGATGTTGTTACTCTATGTGTGAGATACTTAACTTGGTTATACTGATAGCTGCCTAGTTCCCTTTGAAACTTACTTACCCCTCGAGCATAAAAGAAAATGGATTCGCTTGTCTCACCTGCATGTATTAGTATGAAGCCCTGCATGGCTAAATAAGTTTCAATGTTATTTGTTTGTGCTCGAGGGGTAAGTTTCAAAGAAAACTATGCATATGTGACCTGCTCCAGCAAAATCAGCTATTTCTAGAATAAATTCAAAATTTAGTTTTTTGTGTTTTTACATTCTGCATGAATTATTATTTAAAACCGTTTATTTGATGGAAATTTGTTGAGTTTTAGCAAAGTTAAGAATATTTAACTGATTGGATATTAGTCATGTAGGTTTTTGATTCCAAAATCACTAGTTTATTATTAAAATTTGTATTGTTTTTTAACAAAATTTTAATAAACTGATGTTTTGCAGAAATGTTCTTCAATATATCTTTTTTATAAAATACAAAGACAAGAAAAACGTAAAAAATTCTGATTCTTGTCCGTTTTGGCTATTTGTGGGTAATTACAAATTGCGTCAAACTGGGGGTTTTCGCCAGAGCCAGTCACATATCGTTTAATTGCAGGTAAGCATTCGAGAAACAGACAGGGTTATAATTAAGCAGGTGAAAAATAATGTGGTATTGAATATTCACTGTATGCAGCAGTTTGCAGTGGACAGTGTGACCAGATCACCATGGAGGAAGTTAGGCTCCAAGGCCAGTTGTTGTAGTCTTCCCCCTCTTCGCCAACGTTTTAAGGCCTTCACGTACCTAGTGGCTACATTAAGGCAATGGAAAGAAAGACGAACTGTGGCTAAGTGCTGTATTATAGTATGTTAATAGAAGAATTTTGTGCCTACATTGAGTGCTGATGATGTGATAATACTGGGTATTTAAAATAAATATTGTGTCACTTTTAATATAAAATAAAATTGCTGAAACCAGTCTGATATTAGACTAAAAAGCGTGTTTTTTCTTGTGTGTCTAATCACTAGATATGGGTACAAGATAGAGTTCTCGCATTGAAAAAATGAGGCGGAAGACGTGCCCAACGTAGGCGGCGCCCTTCTTTTTAACCATGCAAGTTTCCTATACTTCGTGCCCAACGTACAGGGCGCCCTTCTGTTGCTAAGTATATCC